AGTAAAAACTTTGTAAAAATTATGAAATTTAAAAATCCTTTTTTTGAAAACATTTTCTACTAGAGTACAAAGTTTTGTTTTTTTGAAAAGCAGTAACAAGAATTTTTTAAATATAATATATAACAAATTCTTTTTTTTTATTCTTTTAAATTATATCTACAATTCTGAATACCATTTTTTAACAATATAGATTTTTATATAAAATGTAAATTATTTCTCGTTCCAAAACTATTTGTGATATTAAAGAAAATAATTAGCATGATTAGAAAAACATTCACAGTTTATGAATTTTAAATTTAATAGTATTACTAGGCAAAGTGGAAAATGTTGCCGTCATTATTATTTAATTTTTAAAGGTAAGTTTACGAATAAAGTATGTAACTTCAGCTGAAATAATTTGTTACGAAATATGTTTCATTAAAATAATATTAATGCTTAAGTGCACTTTATAGTTAACTATTGTTTAAACTGATATATGAAATATTATTTTATGTAATAAAGTAGCTAGAGTATTTATTAAAAATAACTTTTAAAAGAACAGGTCAAAAAGCAAAACTATCTTCATCGAGTAAGAAAAAGTTTATTCGATTATGATGCGATTAAGTCTTATTTCGTTAACATTATTATATTAAAAGTACTTTCGCGTCGTTATATAAAAAAAATATTCATAAATTACTAAAGTGAAAATGTTATTTTTGTTGATTATTAAAAATCTAAAATTATTTTTGTTTTTTAAACATTTTTTAATTTCAGCAATTTTGTATGTTTATCATGCAAAAGTGACTTTACTATATTAATTGTTTTTTACTACACTATACTATATTAATTGTTTAATTTTTCAAATCATAGAAACATATGTTTATTTTTATTGTAATAAAATATTAAAAACAAATTGCATTAATATTTTTCACAATTGGTCTATGAAACCTCATCGCGATTTTTTATTTGAACAATCGTTTTCGATATTGTTCAACATTTTATAAACTCACTCAAACGCCAATTTGTTCGAGCTGGTTATAAATAATTGCTAGCAACAAATGATACCTAATTATTGCCTTCGAAAGTTTCCAAATAGATTATTCGCTGAAATTAAGCGTGAAATCTACCAACAAAAAAGTAATTATTTTTAAATTAATAATACGTTTGAAATGTTCAAAATAATTGATTAAATTATAGTTGCATGAATTATATCAGTTTCTCTAAGTGAAAGAAATTTAGGAACTTATATTGTCATTTATTACATTGATAAAACTTCCGGTTCAAATTACGATCTAAAGTACCGGCCGTGAGAGTGCCAGTATTTTTTTAATGTACAATTTATTTATATTTATTTATTTAATGTTTTTTATTTACTTATTTATTTAATTTTATTTATTATGCTTTATTAATAATTCAAATAACTATGAAGTTTAGCATCTATAAAAAAAAATTTATGGTATTATAAGTCACGCACTGAACTCAGAACAAATTTTAATGACTTTCAACTTAATTTTAGAGAGAAAATTTTCATATTCGATAACAAAAATTTCTTCAAATTGTTATTTTTCTTATCAAATACTTTTAATGATATAATATTGAATATTAAGAGTTTAAATTTTTAATCGGTTATTGTTTTCAAATGACAATAAATTTTTCCGTCGTGCTTTAAATCACTATTTACACCATAAACGTGCAAATTCATACTTTTGGTATGAAAATTTTAAAAATAAACTACGTTAACAGAAAAATTATAAAACTTAACACAAATAAGACTATCCGAATAGAGTATTTCATTAGTTTTATATTTTAGTTTCTATTTTGATAGATGATTTTAATTTGTAATTTCCTTTTATGGTAAAGTCTTAAAAATTATTACTCGAATAAACAATACCTTGAATAATAAGTTTAAGCAATCTATTTGTACAAATCAAAAGCTAAAGCAAATTTTTCAGTCAAGATTAGAAATAACAATAAGAATACAAAAGTTTATTACACTGAGAAAAAAAAAGTATGAACTGACTACTGGAATATGGTGAAATTTACTCCGTGTCTGGTTCTATGGGAACATCAAAAAGCTCGGTAATTTTTATCGAAGAGCTTTGGTAATGTTTTTGGTTAAATTGGCAATGAAATATGGTCTTATGTTATAAAATTTGGTAAATGTGGTAGTACCTTATAAATAATGTGGTAAATACCTTAGCATAGCATAAAAACCATGTATTCGATTAAATTTACTTATTATTTTTGAATTTTTTTATTAAATAGGTGGTAATTAAAACAATAATTTTGAAAACCAGTTTTTCCAGTAAACTGTTACATTATCAACAGAAACTTACCAAATGAATAGTTTAAATACCGTAGATTTCTGATTTATTAATTGGAATTAAGTTGTTTTCAACTAGAAGTCTCATTACCATACAGTACGGTAATTTCACTAGAATTGTTTTTTCTCTGTTTAAAAAAAATGATGATAAAATAAAAGAGGAAAAAAATGTATTACTGTTGTTATTATTATTTATTGTTATCATTATCATTATTACCTTATTGTTATTATTATTATAAAATTTTGCAATTATTATTGTAAGGGGATTGACCAAATTCTGAAACTTATGATCAAAAACAAACTACTATTTGAATTTAGAAAATCTCATAGGTAAAAATTTTTTTAATGTAAAGTGACAATTAAATATACTGTAAAACTCATAATTATTCGATCAGAAAGGTAATATCATTGTTTTCTGATTCTTTACTGGGCTTAAATTATCATATTAGCTGCGTCTCTTTAAAGAGACGTCTATAAGAAAACTAAAAATTTGTCTTGAGCATACAGGGATTTTTTTTGTGAACAAGTTTGAATAAATTATTTTTAAAGTGCACACTCAGAAATAATTGTTCAATGTTGAATAATAGTGTTGGCACCTTGGATCACAATACGGTGAAACTTTTTAGCATCCTTGATAAAGTGTTTAATTGAATCATGTTTTCGTTCACATTAAATCATAGTACCGTGTAATAAAATTTAAAAAGTATGATAATACAGTATGATCATAAGCATGTTATGAAGCTGAAGCAAATTCGAACAATGTTATGGTTCAACATACTAAAAAGTTTAAACAATGTATAATTTATTTCTTTTAAATATTTTTTTCAATAGCAGCACGCATCGAAGCGTTCTCTTGATTATGTAGTCTTTTTTATATTCAAGTTTAACTAAAAAATTTTCAATTCTTTTAAATTTAAATTCTTATTACTAACTTTCACTTACAAACCACGTTCTTATTGATTTATTTCACTTTTAAACCTATGTTATTATTGCTTTATTTCATTTTTAAGCCTATGTTCTTATTGCTTTATTTCACTTTTAAACCTATGTTCTTATTGCTTTATTTCATTTTTAAACCTATGTTCTTATTGCTTTATTTCACTTTTAAGCCTACGTTCTTATTGCTATATTTCCCTTTTAAGACACAGCTCTTTTTGCTCTATCTGAATTTTAAATCGAAGTTTTTTTTTTGTTGCTATTTTTCAATTTAAAATCGGTGTTCTAATCGGTTAATGTCACTGTTAAATTAACGCCATTATTGCTACATTTCCTTTTCAGATTTCTTTTTTTAATATTTGACTTCAAAACCGATGTTCTTATATAGTATTTTCCTTTTAAATAGCTGTCCTCAATGCTATAATTTTCTTTTAAATCGACGTTCTTATTTGATTTCTCTTTCAAAAATCCTGTGAATTTAGATGAAACTATTTTGAAATTCGATAGCTCAAATTAATAAATTTTTTCTGTTTCTTTAAATTTGTTTAGCTTCGAAATTTTTACTGAAATATTTTTAACTTTGACAGAGAATTGTACAAGTAAACATATTTAATAAAAACATTATATTTACTTAGATAAAAGCTTTGTTTTAAAAATTCATATATTTCAAGCTAATTCAAACTTTTTATTTTTAAAATTTATGGCCAAGCCCATTAAATTAAAAATTAAATTTAAATATCATCTATTACTAAAATATTTCTATTGAGTATTTTTCACCTATTATTATGTGTGTAGATATATATTCATTCACATATATATATATTCATAAGATATATGTGTGTAGATAAAATAAGAAACCCTACTTCAAAAAACATTGCTTATATAAATCATAGTAAATCAAGAAAAAAGAACACTTTTCGATATTTTTCAAATAGAAAACAGTTAAACAAATATTAATGCATTTTCAATATGTAATTACTCAAAAGATATTCATAAATTCTTTTTAAAAAATGAAGCACCCATTTTTGATTATTTTAAATGTTTTATTTATCAAATGTAAGAATGAGAACTAAATCTCTAAAATTTTTATGCATTTTTTTTCCTATTAAATAATTGAAATATATCTAACAATTTTTTTAAATTTCTAATAAAAATAAATTGTACATATTTTTTTCAATCATTTTAAAATTAAAAGTAATTTATCCGCAATTTTACTTGAGTTCAATTACAATAAAATTAACAAACATTCCTCCAATTTAATTCGTATAGACTTGCTTTTGTAGTAAAACCATTAAAAATATTTTATCGAACACTTTTAAGTAATTATTTTTTACAACTGATGAAATCAAAAACTCTTTTTAATTAAATCAAATTTTTCAAATCAAACTTTTGATATTTAAAATCAAGCAACAAAATTAAATTTGAATTCAATATAATTTTTATTCACAACTGCTTAAATACAACCATTAAAAAAATATTTACTTTGAATGTAACTTTTTACTTAATTCCTTACTAGAAATAATCAAATAAAAAGCACTTGTTTAAGTACATTAATTAAAAATAATAAAACAATTATTTCCAGAGGATTTTTAATTACAATTCATAAAATAAAAATTACACATGAGTTAATACAACCCTTAAAAAGAATTTATCTTACACTTTTACTTAATTTCTTATTGCCGATAATAAAGGAAAAGCTGAATTGAATTTGATTTGTATCTACCACTAATTTACTAAAACAATTAAAAAATTATAAACTTACTCTAATTTGCAAAAAATTCCAGAAAACAATTCCAACTTATAAAGTTGATTTCAAAAATAGTCCAAATGAAAGGACCGGCGACTTTGCAAGCAAGCGATAAAATGAAACAAGATGAATAAAGATGAAGGGAAAAAAAGAGCTGTAAGATCAACGAATACTATAAATGAGATTGAGCAGACGAGTTTTAAGGATATATACTGAACATGAAGTTTAAGGAGCCCGAAGCGCTCGCATCGAGAAATGAACTAGTTTTTCGTTTTCGCTTGAGTAATTTCCATCCAAAGGCATATTTACCAACTTTTAAAAGAACTTTTTTCTTTGCCGGATCTTATCGAGGACGGCCGTGAGAATTTTCAATAGAAAATTAGAAAGTATAGCTTTCACGAAAGCTGGAACAAATAAATCGCTTGCACTTATTTGCGATTTTAAGACAAAATTACATCTTGCTGAATGGCAACAAATAACATTGTAAGGAAAACTGTGAATGGTTAAGCTTCTGTTTTTAGCAAGTTCTGTTTTTACAACGAAAAAATTTTGAAGTGACTAATGCATATATTCTCCATCTGCATATCCTTTTTAATACTAACTAGATTTTTTTAAATTTTTTTTTATCTTTTTATATTGAGTACTTTGCATTAAGAATTATACACTGCCAAGATAAAGCTTTTACTATTTGAAATGTGTGAAAATGAGAGGGGTATAACATAAAATTATTTATTTAAATTTGATGAAAACTTAATTTTTTAAAATATGAGTTAAGAATTAAGGAAAAACTAATTATTGAATTTTTTATATTTAAATTTGGAATAATTAATCTTCTAAAATAGGAAGGGTCTACACTAAATTATTTATTTAATTCACTTTATTAAAGTTTGAAGGAAACTTAATAACTTAAAATATCTATGAATAATATTTAAAAAAAACTAATTACATATTTTTTAATTTCACTTTTTTATTTAAATGTTGAAAGATCAATTATTTAGATAATAAAATAATTAATCATTAAGATATTTATTTCATAGAAAAAAAATTAGTTATTTAAATTATTTATTTTATTTAGAAGAAAAATTAGTTTTTTAACTAAGAAAAAACATTAATTGCTTAAATTACTTATTTAAATTATAGATTTATTTAAATAGAAGAAATATTAATTATTTGCATACGAAGAAAATGTAATTATTTAAATAAGAAGAAGTATTACTTAGAAGAAAAAAATTATTATATATATTTCATACTTTTTCTGTTTTTCAGAAAAGAGTTATGTTATTTGGTAATAAAACATTTTGTTTTGATCCATTTTGTATTCATGCAAGAAAAAATCACATTGTTTTATAAGTATCAATTGATGGCAAAAATTTGTGTTCGATCTAAATTGCAAAATTTATGAATTTAGAGGAACTGGTGAAATTTTAGAGAAATGTAACCAACATTTCTCTTCAATTTTCCAAACTAATTCGAATATTAAACAAGAATCTTACCCATTTTTTATGACGAAAGTAGATGAAATTATCTATTCTAAGGTAGTAGCATTATTTTTCTATGTCTTTTACAATTTTTAGTTTTTATTCAAATACTTTTACTTAATTGAAATTAAATATGGTTAGATCTAGTTAATAAAAGCAGATTTAGGGTTCAAACGGAGAAAATATCGATAAAGGTATTTTATTCATAAAAATTTGGGTGAGATTTTAATTTTGCTTTGTATACTATAAAAAATACCTGTTATTTTTTCAAAATTTCACCGGATATTTAAAGGTTTAATGCCGTTTTGTTGACACAACGGTTTTTCTCCATTTTTTACCCTAATCTCAAGTTGTCAGTTAGAATTCTAGTTTTCGCCTTGCAGTTTTGCGTCTATAATGTAACTTCATCGTTTTACCAATCATTGCATGATAATTTTCTATACTTGCTCTTACTTTTTAGCACATCCTTCATGGTTTTGAACATCATAAAAATAAAAATTTCTATTCGACTTTATTGTAAAATTGATAAAATATTGAAGTGAAATTCTCACTATCATGATTTCGTTATAATAAAATACTTGAGCAAGCAATGATTCAGTGGACAGAGTATGCAGTTCTTAATGAAGTGACCTAAATCCGAATTCTAGTGATGACTTTCCGATACAAATTCTGCCGTAATAAAATATCCTCATCTGGTGCTAGTACAGGCTCGTTTCGTAATTTTCACAGAGAAAACTTGTTCCCATGTGGTAAAAATCTGTTGAGACAACAGATTTATTTTTGTTGTAAAAGCGTGGTTTTTATTGTGGTAAAAAAACCAGTCAGATTACAGATTGTCTTCATAATTTTTTACAGAAAAAACTTGTTCTCGTATGGTAAAAAGCGGTTGAGGCTACGGATCTACTTCGTAAAGTTTACACTTCTAATCCACAAGCCGGTTTGAATCCGTGAATTTAACGGGATTTTTTTAACAGTTTACAATTAACAGTATGCCAACAAAACAAAACACCAAAAGTTTTAATCCGGTGTTACTTAGTTCACCGGGGTAAAATACGGAAATTCGCTGGGTGAATTTCAGGCATTACTAAACAATATATTGCTTTGAGTCGAAATATAATTTTTATGCCATCAGTTCCATATTTCAGTGAAGTTCTGGATGATATACATGATTTAAAAATATGTGTATATTTTAAAGATAAGTTATAAGACTTTGCTAATATTGAAGATAATTTTATCTTAATTTGGAAGCGTCATGACTTAAAATACTTACATTTTTGGGTCGAGCACCCCATTGATCCTTGTTAAACCGACTAGGCATCTGGCTACTGATGGATGATAACTTTTTCTTTTAAATGTTAAAATAAAATTTTAAAAAACTAGCTAATTTGTTTTATTATGTGAAAAAACTTATAAAACTAGCAAAATAATATGATTATTATTATTTTTTTTATATCGCCATTTTTAGGTAAAAATAAAGCTTTTTTTTGTAGCTTATACGCTAAACACTGTAAAAAAATTTATCTCGCTTAAAACCAAAAATCCTTTGCGAACTTTATTTAAAAGGTTATTAACTATGTTTTGAAATATTATCTTAAAAGAAAGCTCATATACTAATGAGTTAGGGATCATTGCAGTCAAAAAAAGCAAGTGTTTAAAAAATTTCCATCTTGTCTTTGCGAAAAAACGTGCATAATTTTTTTTCTTAGTCTGTAGTTAAAAATCACGTGTGTTATAATTATAAACACACATGAAAAATTGTAGACAATTATTTTAAAACAAATTGAGATATCATGTTTAAAGTAGTTTGAAATGCAAAAAAAAATAATCTGATTTTGAGATAAATGCATTTAAAAACGTAAAATCATTAGTCTATCCATTGTTATCACCTAGCACAAAAACTATTTTAACTTTGTAAATAATTGAATTACAAACAAACGTGAAGTATTGTTAGAAGGTACAGGGATTATAAATTTGTAGTATACTTAATTTCGAAAATTTTCCCCCAAATCATGTTTTTGCACTAATCAGATACTAAAAATTGAGACAATTATAGTTGGCATAATAGACAAATATAGTTCGTATTTATAGTTGATTTGCGATTTATAGTTGATTTGCGATTCAATAATTACATTATTGATTATGTTCCATTTCTATTTTTATTCCCCCATTTTTATATTCATTGTATATATTTTTGTATTCATTCACCTAACTTTCTCAATGGGAAAATAGTGTTCAGATTGACTCTTTAATAAAAAAAAGAACTATTAGAAGAATTTCAAAAGAAAGAACTACGTTCTATTGAAATGAAATGCTTAAAAAATACTGTTCTTGATTTCAACACTCTGAAAAATAACTTACACAATTTTAAAATTCTATAACAGTCATTTACAAACTAAATATATTAGCTTTTTTTAAACGTTCTTTTTAATTTACCTCGTGTAAATGCCTACTCCAGCGAATTTAAATCTTATTTTCAGAAGCCATATGAATACTGTTGTAAATCCACAATATCTTTATGCATGGAGAAAAAAATTCAGATGAAATTATTGTACTGTATCGTAATGACATTTCTGTTAAAAAAAAAGTCGAAGTTCCAATAAAATCTAAATGAATAATATCCAAATATAAACTATTTAAACCATTCAGTTGATAATTTTTCCGTTCTAAATGGTAATATTTTACCAGAAATTTTGTTTTCAAAATTATAATTTTTATTAAACATATTTGGTAAAAAAATACAAAATTGAAAAGTAAATTTAACCGAATAAATGGCTTTTATGTCATGTTCAGGTATCATGATAAAATTAAGAAATTTTTTCTGATTTTTATCACAAATAATCAAATTATATTTTATTGTAAATTTTACCAAAACCATTATGAAATCACTTCGATAAAAATTATCAATAGCTTTTTGGTGTTCTCACAAATCCAGAAACTATGCTACTATGTTTCAATAGTTTTGACCATTTTTTTTTCTTCCGTATGTATTCACTTATCTCTGTCTTTGAATGCATAACATATTCCTTACATATTTATTAATATTTATCCATAATATCTACATGTATTTCCTGTAATGTATTAAAAAAATACATAAAAGGAAATAATTCAACTTCTAAAACGCGTTTCATTTTTTTATTATCTCTTAACGTTCGAAACAGTTTTAATTGTCGCTTAAATTATTGTAATCACGTAGATAAGAAAAGTGTCACTACGTGTGTGGTTTTTACTCTTACTTATTATTTAAGCTTCCTGAAATAAAAATGCTAAAAAAATTACTTTTTACACTTTTATTTCTATCAGGAAATGTTTTCCTCAATACATGACATTTATCTTAGCTCTTTGTTACCTCATCTTCTACTAGCATAAGTCAAATATTGAATTTTTACTGCAAGCTTAGTTACTTCATATAGTGAGATAACATATTTCAACGAATTTTACTTATTTATTTTTGCAATATTGTCGATAACACAAATATTTTAGAAAACTTTCGTACATACAAACATAGATTGTAACGGTAAACACAAGTTTTGCAACAATTAGTTCATTGGAGAAATTGATGCTCTCAAATTAATAAATGTTTTAAATTGAAAAGTCTTCTAAGTAATGACGACATTTATTATATTTAAGAAACAGTTAATAATTAGAATAAGGTTGTTTTTTCTTGTTGGTAAATTTTAAGTTTAAGCTCAGCATTAAATTAAGTTTAAAAAATATGTATACCATGATTGGCTTTTTA